GACACCACTGAAACCGACACTGCCACCGCTGACACCGCTGACACCTCTGTTGCCAATGCCGTCACCCCCGCCGCTGCCAGCTTCATTGACCTATGGCCTGGCAATGGGGAGGGGGCCTCTGCACCCCAGGCCGAGGCCAGGGCCCCCACACCGCCCTTAGGTGCTGAGGTCACTCTGGCAGAGGTCCCCCTGCTGGAGGAGGCGGCTCAGGGGCCACTGCCACCGGCGGGTGAGGGCTGTGCTGGCCTTCTCAATTTCGACGAGCTCCCTGAGCCCCCGGCTACCTTCTGTGACCCAGAGGAAGGAGAAGGGGAGCCCCTGGCTGCCCCCCAGGCCCCAACTCTGCCCTCAGCTCTAGAGGAGCTGGACCAGGAGCCAGAGCAGGAGTCAGAGCTGGAGCCTCACCTCCTGACCAATGGCGAGACCACCCAGAAGGAAGCCACCCAGGTGGGGCAGGGTCAGCCTGGTGGGAGGGATGGTAGTCAGGCTTCAGGCTGGGGCAGACCCTACCTTCCTCCAGCTGTGACCCACATTACTGGGGGGGTGGGGGAGCTCCATTCCATTCACCCTCCGTGGTCCAGGTCTGCTTTTGTTCTCCGTGCTGGCATCTGTGTTTCCCTAGCAACCACTGATGGAATCACTAGTTGCTGGGGAAACGGCTCAGGCCTGATAGGTCAGTCCTAGCCCTGCTGGGTGGGGCCCAGTGACCCAATGCTTTTCCCCTGCCAGGCCAGTGAGGGATACTTCAGCCAATCACAGGAGGAGGAGTTTGCCCAATCAGAAGAGCTGTCTGCAAAGGCTCCACCCCCTGTCTTCTACAACAAGCCTCCAGGTAGTACCCGATGGGCAATGGGGAGAAATCCTGGTGAGCTTAGAGGTTTGAGTGTTTGGCATCCCCGCCCCGCGCGTGCTCCCAGTGGTTGGGGAACACAGCTGCGAGTCTGCTGGACTGTCACAGTAATAATTCTTTCAACACCACAGAAATCGACATTACCTGCTGGGATGCAGACCCCGTACCGGAAGAGGAGGAGGGCTTCGAGGGTGGCGATTAGCAGTGGCGCTGGTCCTCAGGCTGCCCTCGTCAAGGCTGCCTCCTGTGCCGGCCTCTGGCCAGACAGCCCGCCGCGCCTGCTGCAGCAGCTCCGCCTGGCACCCACTGCGGATTCTGGCCCTAGCCGGGGACTTGGCCGCTTCCCTATCCACAGGGCCTGACTTTTACAGCTTTTCTCTTTTTTTAAAAATTGATAGGAGACTTGTACAGTTGACTGGTTTTCCTCCCGTTGGTAGTTGAGACGCTGTTGCAGATTCCACCCCTCCCCGCCCGGTCCAGATTGTAGCTCTTAGGGCCCCCCCTGCTCAGCTGGCCCGCGGTGGAGGCCTCACCCTGGGGACCTGGCTGGGGGGAGCTCTGGTGGGAAAATGTCTCCCCACCTCTTTTCCTAGTTTTTTGTTTCTTGGAAAAATATCACTTTGTATTCTCTATCCAGAGCTTCAGATATTTTGCACGATTTTAAAACATGGCAATAAATGGCTTGTGGGCTCTGGCTCCCTGGGACCCCGCCCTGCCCTTCTATTGACCCCTCCCTGCCTGGCCCAAAGGAAGCAGCAGGCCCAGCTGGGGCCCCTCATCTTCCCGCCCTCTCCTGCTGGGCAGGTCCCAGGCTGGAGGCCCTAGGCGGGATTCAGGTCAGGGCAATGGATGGAGCCCCAGGGGCTTGGGTGGGCCCCTCCCGGTGGGCCCCTCCCCAGTCCTTTCTCTTTGCTTGGGTTCCTTTTTCACGTTTCAGTAACTGGTTTTTTTTTTGTTTTTTTTTTTTTTTTTTTTGCTGTATGACATGTGTGCTTGCTGGAGAAAAAGAGAGGGGAGAGAGATGAGAGAAAGAGAAAGACAGAGAGAGTAATGAAGTGAGAAATTACCTCCTGGGGGGATGGCCATGCTGCAACCTCTTCTCCATTCTCTTCTCTGGATTTTGGGCATGCATGTACCCATACCCCGCATGTTTTGTAAGTTGCCCAGTCTGGGACTTGAACTGCACAACCAGCCATGTGGGATCTAGCTGCTTTAACCTCTGTGCTACCTGCTGGCCCACTGACTTCTTCTTATAAGTGTACCAATTGCATTCACAAGGGCTTCACCCTCATGACCTAATTACTTCTCAAAGGCCCCACCTCCTGCACTGGGATTCAGATCCCAACATATGAATTTTAGGGGATCATAAGCATACTCTCCATTACACAGACAGATATTTATTGCCATTTATTGACTACCTCATTAGATTCTGTTTATTAAACAGATTGTTATATTAGCAACAGTCAGTTTTTAGTTATACATACTACTAAAATATCACTAAGTCACACTAAGTCAATGTTTACAACTGGGAAAAAAATTATACAAAGACTGGGAATTGTTCAAATCCCTCCTCCTAAATAGATGAATATAAAACACATGAGTTTAAAAACTTCATGCCAGTGGCAGTGGAGATGAAGCGCTATTTAAGATTTTAAACAAATCCGTAAATGCAGTATTTGGAACATGAGTTGAATTGTCAGACAAGGTGAAAAAGAACACCCACATGGGGTTTTGCTTATAGATTTCATTTCTTCTTCCCAAAACTTAAGTATAAATGGTTGTCATAAGCTGACTGTGGCCTATTTCACTATGAGCATACATGAACTCAAAGTTAATTTTCCCTGTTAATTTGATACATTACACAAATGATAAAATAACAATAGTAGAAGGGGAAAAAGCCTATTAACATTCAAAACTTAACACACCACTTGTTTTTATATGTTTTTTCAGCTCCTTTCTATACCAGATCCATTTACATAGTGGTTTTTTAAAAAGGCAAGATGAGGGAACCAGCAATTAGCGTAATGGCTATGTCGCTGGATTCCCATGTAGTTGACCGCAGTTTGTGTCCCGGACCCGGTGGCTTAGAAATCATGCCAGGCACATGTGCATGCGTGCCCAAGATCTCGAGAGGAGGATGGAGGAGAAGGGATTGTGGCATGACCATCCCCCCTGGGGGGTGATTTCTCGCTTTCTGTCTGTCTCTCTCTGTCTGTCTGGCGAGCGCACGTGCCCTATAGCAAAAACCTCTCAACCTGCCCTTCTATTGACCCCTCCCTGCCTGGCCCAAAGGAAGCAGCAGGCCCAGCTGGGGCCCCTCATCTTCCCGCCCTCTCCTGCTGGGCAGGTCCCAGGCTGGAGGCCCTAGGCGGGATTCAGGTCAGGGCAATGGATGGAGCCCCAGGGGCTTGGGTGGGCCCCTCCCGGTGGGCCCCTCCCCAGTCCTTTCTCTTTGCTTGGGTTCCTTTTTCACGTTTCAGTAACTGGTTTTTTTTTTGTTTTTTTTTTTTTTTTTGAAAGCACAAACTTCTGTAACGGGTCGTGCTCATGTCTGTTAATAAAGTAATCCAGATCCCTTTGGGCCTGCTGCTCTGGGCCTCCAGGGACTGATCTGACCTGGGCTGCCCGCCCCCACCCAAGGCATCAGAGGGCGGATTCTCTTTGCTACCTGGGGGCGCCTTAACCATGCTCTCAAAAAATAAACTGCTTGGGGAATGAGGCTCCCACCCAGCCTCTAGCCCCAGAGGTTGGCTGACCTCAGGGTTAGCTCGACTCTCTGGCCAGCTTGCAGCGGGTCTTCCCGTCAAAGCTCATCAGCGACTGGGCGCAAGCAGCTGGCGCCCCCTCCGCTGTACCAAACCAGGTCACACACCTTTATTATCCTCAAAATGTAACAAACGGGGTAAGAAATCCCTCCCACCTCCCGCCCTTCCCCGCAGTCCAAGGGAAGCATTTAAAAAGCCCCGCAGTCAGTCAGGCTAGAGTCTGCAGGTGGGGCCCAGGACGCAGGGCGCCCCTCTATACGGCTGTAGTCCTCCCGAACAAGGGGATGGAGACCGGCAGACGCCAAGCTCCGTGCTCCAGGGGCTCGCGGCTGCTGAGCTCCGAGTCGGTCCAGCTGGGGAAGACCCGGCGGCTGCGGTCGGCCTGCAGACAGAGGGCAGGGCAGGGCGGCGCCGGTCGTGGGGCGCTGGGCAGGTGCAGCGCCGAGGTGTAGCCCCGGTCCAGAAAGAGCGGCTTGTAGCTGGGCGGCGGCTGCTCTTGTTTCTCCGCGCTATCGCGGCGGCTCAGGAAGGGTGTGACGATCTTGCGGTACAGGCCGCGCGTGTCCGTGAGCACCTCGCTGTAGGGCGGCGGCGGCTCGGCCATCAGCACCGCTTCTTCGTAACATGGTGGTTTAGACATGTCCGATTCCGCTGCAGAATGGGAAGCGGTCGGAGGAAGTGAGGCCACGAGTCGGTCCCCAGCCTCCCGCAGAGGCTTTGGCCAGCCGCCAACCCCAGCCCTCTCCCTTCTAGGTAGTCGCGGCTGCGCGG